AAGATATGCTAGGAGATGTAATCTGTCCCCAAAGGGTTAGGGTGTGGGGAGTGCAGGAGATGAAGTCATCTACAGAAAGTTCCCTCCATCTTCAAGATGAGCTCCTTGCTGACACGCATGAAGAAGCAATGAGACTGGGAGTACAGAGCAGGGCTCAGCAGTGACCAGTCTCCAGCTCTCTGGATGGAAGGCTTCAGTGATGCTACCTCATCACTTCAGATGCAAACACACAACTTTGTGACATGCTCTCCCCTGTATCATTTAACCCTCCACCACCTGGTTTGGAATGTATTACTATCTTAAAGGTTAAAATAAGTGAGATCAAGCTGGGTGTGGTGGCACACACCTGTAAGTCCCAGCACTCCAGGAGGCTGAAGCAGTAAGATCTCAAGTTTGAGCCCACTCTGGGGAACTTAGTGAGACCTTGTCTAAAAATAAAAATAAAAGTAAAAGTAACAAAGGGCTGAGGAGCAAGGATTTAGCTCAGTGGCACTGAGCCTGCCTCACAAGCACCCCTGGTACCGCAATAAATAAATAAATAAAATAGGGCTGGGATGTAGCTCAGTGCAAAGGCCCTGGTTTCAATGCTGGGGGAAGGGAGGTCCAAGGTCATTGGACAAGGAATGGGAACCCAGCTTCTATTCCACAAAATCTGGAACCCACTAGTAAGTACATCCATTGGGGAAGATGCACTATATGGGCCAAGAAAAGAGGAAGATCACAGCACCTTTTGGAAAGCTTTAGTCATTGCTTTTGGGGGGGGGGGGATTACTGGAGATCAAACTCAGGACCTTGCACTTGCCCGGCGGGGGGGGCACCACTGAGCTAAATCCCCAGCCCTAGTAATTGCTCTTAAAACGTTATACACATACACTATGACCCACAAATCCTACACCTGTAATCTTGAAAAACAAAAAATCACATCTCTGTATAGGCAGAGGGCTATGTAAGAATGCCCACTTAGGCATTATTTGAAACAAAACTGGAATTAACCTTTCAGAGGAATCACCGCTAAACATATAGTAAAACCCATGGATATAATACTACCAATGTTAAACAAGTTGTTCTCCCATATGCACATGGAAAAAGCCTTGTATAATTCATAATTTGAAATAGGAAAGGGTCCAAAGGCGTAGGGTGGTAGGAGGGGAAGGGGAAAGGGAAGAAGGGAAAGGAAAAATTATGAGAAAAGAAAAAAAATGGAAACGAAATTTATGTAAATAGGGAAGGGTGGAGGGGATGAAGGGCGCACAGGCAATGGGGAAAAACATAAGAACTAACATACAGCATGTTCAGGTACAAACACCCAAGGATAAATGTAAACGTATTGTATACCTAAAATGGACCGATAAAAGAATAAAAAGAAAAAAAGAAAAAGAAAAAGCATTGTACACAGGAAACAAGCTACAGACCAAGATGTATGTGATGTTTATGCCCACAAAATCCTGTGGAAAACCTGGCAAAGACACACACCAAGCCATGCAGTTTGGAAGAGAGGGAGAGGAGGAAGCTTTTGCACATCAACTCTGTATCCTACAACCTTCATTAATTCATTTATTACATCCAGTAAGATTTTAGTAGATTCCTTGGGATTTCTTATCTATGGCTATAAATAGAGAAAAATTTCTGTAACAGTGGTTCTCCAATGGGAATCCACATTAGCATCACACTGGGAAAGCGTTTAAAAGCCTCCAGACAAGGCCACATTAAGACCAATTAAATCAGAATCTCTAAGGGTGAGAATCAACACCAGGTTTTTCTTTTTCTTTACACCCAGGTGATTCCAACATGCAGTCAAGTTTGAGAACCCCTGTTCTGCAAGATCCCTCACACACGCCAAAATGTAGATGACAGGAGATTTGATTTATATGTGCTTCATGTTCAACATCTTCATACAAAAGTAAAGACAATCTGAGAGGGGAAAGAGGGCAATGGTGTGCTCAGGGCAGGGCAGTGTGACTACAGCCTGCAGTCAGGACAGCAAGCCCTCGCCAGCAGGGCAGGAGCTAACACAAGTACAGCCAAGCTCTGGACCCATATTCTCATCAGGTCAGTAAATTCTGATTCTGGCCAGGGACAGTGGCACACTCCTTTAATCTCAGTGCTTGAGGGGCTGAGAGAGGAGGATCACTGTGAGTTCAAGGCCAGCCTGAACTACATAGCAAGACCCAGTCTCAAAACAAAACAAACAAAAAAAACCCCCTAGATTCCGATTCCTTATTAAGGAGGCAATTCCTTTTCAGTATAACCTATTGTGATTCCCACAATATTTTAGCAATTCTCTGATTCAGGAAAAAAGATGTAATGAAATGGAGTAAACAGACACAAAAGAAACCCTAACAACCACTCCCACACAGAGCCACACCAAGGCCCCAGGGCCACAGACTGAAATTAGGTATATTCCAGGAAGGAGTCATCAGCAATTGACTCCCAAACCAGTAGGAGAAGCCCCGACCTTCAGAACCAAAAGTTGGTTCCACGAGCCCTGCCTCTCCAGCAGTTGCTAAGTCATCTTGCCCAGTCTCCCCAAACCCAGAAGCTGGCTACACTACAAAAGGAAGGGCTCAGACATGCACTCTAGGCTAGCTTTGGTTCTGCACCCTCAGTGATCCATACCACAACACAGCCTGCAGCCTACTACATCTCTGTATCCTTCTACTTCATCTGCTCTCTTCCTGTCCTTGCCCAGCAGAATGCCCAGAACCAGCTGCCAGGGGCCACATGTGTCCTGCCTGCTGCTCTGTAGCATAAAAGGTCCATCACTACAATCACCCATCCAAGCCTCCCAGCCCAGCTTGCTCCCCAACTTCTGCACCCCTGCTCAACTGAGAAGTTCAACCCAGGAAACACAGTCGCCCCCTGTTGTTATGCCAGGAGGGCCTCCCAGCAGTGCTGAACACTGCTAACCTCAGACCACCCAACCCACAGAATCTAGAATGATCCACCAGGATTCCTCGTGACCACACTCCCCAGCCTCCCCTCCCACTCTGGGCTACAGCCAGAGACTAGACCTGCTGCCAAGGATCAAGGAACCAGGAGCCTGCTTCTGTGAGGTGAGTGGCTCAGCACACACAGCTCCTTCCCTAGGACTGCTTCCAAGTGCAGGAACTTCCCAAGAAGAGGCGGGGACTTATCTTTAACTTGCTACCTGAGGATTAAGATTAGATAGCCATCCTCCACATCAGAGGCCCTCGGATCAGCAGCCACATGCCCAAAGGCCTTGGCTGCAACTCACCAGCCCAGCTGGGTATTTCCAAGCTTGCTGCTGCCAGGAGGCCCTCAGAGGGGCTCCCACAGGCAACTTACGCCCCTCCACCACTAACTCCCACCAGTGAAGAAAACAGCTAGCTCCTCAGTCCCTCACACCTGAGATGATCACACCAATCAAGAGGACATCTTGGGATGGCTAAGACACCGTTTTCACTGATTTACACTGCCTGCCAGGCCACCAGGAGGTGGAGCAAAACACATCAACCTTCCCCAAATGCTCAGACAGACTGCACAAGTGCACCCCTCACAAGGTTTTCTGCTACTTTCTTTCCTTCCTTCTCTGGCAGACTCAAGAGATTCTGCCTTTGTCCGGGTATCGTTTTTAAACCACAACCTCCTAGGTTTAGGTGAACTGAACACCATAGCCCAGAGCCGTCTCCCACAGCTAAATGGAGGAGGCTGCCTCCACAGCTGTCCTCTCCCCAGGACTGGGAGGCGGGCCAGCCTGCTGTCAGAGGAAAGCTGCCCACAGGGAAGCTGCAGAGTCCTGCCCTCGGGCTGGGGGGGGGGGCGGGGGCACACTCGGCTATTTTGAATCTGTTGGAATTAAATTGCTGCCTGCTTATTTTTAGCAGGTCCATTTGCCCCGGAATAGATGCTCACTGGCTCACTGCCACCACTGACAGAGCAGAAGGCGGGCACGTGCTTCAGCCACAAGGCCCTCGCATTTATCTGCTCACTCCAGGTTCTAAAAGGATCCCTCCTTCCTCCTGAAAAGTACCTGCAGCTTCTCGGAACAGTTCTTGGAGAAGCTGTGGCCTCACTCCCAACCCAGCTTATGGACCATCACTGCAGTCTAGAGCTTTCTGCTAAACAAGAAAACAAATCTCTGGGAATGGGACAAAAAAGTGTTGGTCCCAGTGACTAAGCCAATCTGGCTGCAGTTACTGTGAAAAAGAGCCACATATAATTGAAGGGAAAGTTAATCACAAAAACAACAGCTTAGGAGCCAAGTGCCCAAGTCACTCTGGGCTTGGACCTGCTCAGTAGAGCCACATCTACTACGTGCTCTGAATGAACTGTGTACCTCCTCTCAACTGGAATCTCAACATTTCTTCCACTACTCCCGTGTCCTATCGCCAGTTCACCAGGCAGGCACCTGGCCAAGGCATCCCACCCCCAGACTGCAGCACAGCGAGCCCTCAGTGAGGGCTCTTCCCCTTAACCTGACAGCCAAGCCCTATGGCCCCAGAACTCAGAGACATCCGGGTGAGGCCAGACACCCTCCACTTGGCAGGAGCACAGCTCAGGAAGGTCACACACTCAGAGTTCTCTGGCAGACTGCAAGAGTACCTCTCGGTTTGTATCACAAAGGTTTTCTAGTTCCTCATAAGGTTACACTGCTCATCTCACTCACACTCAAATCTGTACAAGCTGCTACAAGAAGCTCTGTCACCAGAAGCTCACAATCCAGATGCACACTCAATCTCATCCTCATAGACCCCCTGCCCCACAAGCAGCCAAGAAGTAGGCAATGGGAGCCCAGGAAGCTCCCTCAGAGGGCCAGGATTTCCTCAGGTAGTAATGAACAGAGAGAGGGAGGGACATAAAGGTTCCAGTGCCTTTGGGGGTGGAAGTGCAGTAAGTCCCAAGGCAGAGCTGGAACAAATCCTAGGAAGAGAAGCTAATGAGCAGGTAGGGGGCCAGACAGGCAGCATGACCTTTATGGTCAAGGTGATGAGAACAGTTGCAACATGGTCAAAATAGAGCAGGTCACCAGAGGCAATGGCCAGGCAATCCCCATGTGTCGATTGCTATCCAAGATTGGCAGCCGCTTAGTCATAGGGGCTTACTGAGCACTTGAAATGTGACAAGTGTGACTGGGGAACTGAATTTCAAATTTTACCGAAAGTTAATTTAAACAGCCACATGCCGCTGGTGGCTACCTACCCACAGTAGGGTTCTACGGGGTGTTCCCAGAAGACCCCCAAGAAACCGACGAGGGCTGGCCAGAGGCTTCGAGGCCAGCACCTACCTTGCTGGCAGCGTGTGGTCCTGCCTCTGAAGGGGGCGGTGGTGGTGAGCCTGGGTCATTCTCCTGAAGCAGCATGGCTGGGGCCCAGGATCAGAATGCTGGAGCCATGCCTCCGGTGGACTGGTCTCAGCCCAGGGCTGGTGTTCCTTGCATCTCAGGGGCCTGGCTAAGCTGACTCATGAGGGCACCCACACCATTCCATTAGCTCTCAGAGGGGCTGTCCCCACACCCTCCATTGTGATGGTGCCACAGACAGCAGGAAAGCCAGCGAACATGCTCTGGGGCAGCTCCCAGTAGAGCAGCAGTCAGGATGGTCACGGAACATGTTCCCAGACCGCGTCACAGGAGGGCCAAGGCTCAACCAATACCTGCTCAGCAAAGTCTTCTCTGGCCAAAACAGCATCCCAGAGTCCAAAACCAAGAGATTCACGTAAGAGCTGGGAGCCAAAACGCCCTCTCTGCCTGACAGTCTCTTCCCCCTCCAGTCCAAACTGAAGTTCAACTAATTCCTAGCTTGGAAAATTCGGTAACAAAGGGAGCCACACAAGGGTGGAATGTCAGCCTCTCCGATGCTGACCTAACGGGGCAGGTCCAACCTCACTCTTCTCTGAGTGATGGGGGTGGGGATGTCACCTATTGCTCTTACCAAGTCCTTCCCAGCTTCACCAGGGACTGGGGGTGTGGTTTTAGAAAACTATGAAGACTGTGTCCACCCCACCCTGCACCTTAAATTGGGCTTTTAGTGACCACCTAGCTTTATAAGTGAATTCTGTCAGGCTCCTGAGGACTGTTAGAAAGCAGGTACAGAAAGGTACACCTGCGTTTATGAAGTTCCTATCCATGACCACAGAAGATGCCACACAGTGCCTGAAAGGTCTGAGCAGAGATCTGACAGCAAGGGCATTTAAAAGGCCATCCAGGGCTGGGGATTTAGCTCAGTGGTGCCACTGCCTGCCTCACAAGCACAAGGCCCTGAGTTCAATCCCCTGTACCCCCCTCCCCCAAAAAAAGCCCATACAGATGACATGTGCCTTCAAAAGAGACCAGATGGGGCCAGGGATTTAGCTCAGTGGTTTCACTGCCTGCTGTGCAAGCTCAAGGACCTGAGTTCAATCCTCAGTACCAAAAAAAAACCCAAAAGAGACCAGATGATGGACAGCAAAACACCCTTCAAGCCACCACCTCCAGTGGGCAGAGGGAAGACCCCAATTTTCCCAAATAGCAGACTTATGACCAACTCAGCAACCACATAAAGGTATATGAGGGCAATTTCTATTCAACAAATATTTATTGGCACCCATAGGGCACCAACACAATGGAACAGAAATTAAAAAGACAAGGCAGTGTTATCCTTAAAACACTTTCAATCTTTCCGTTTCTTTGGGGACAAAAACAATGACCTCACATCCAGTGAGCTTGTTGTGCCAGCGTCTGACCAGATGAAAGTTTGTTCTAAGTGACAGGTAAGTGTCCAGCTGGCAGTGGGAACCAACTAGGAAATAGGGTGCCAGCTTCCTGAGACTAGGATGTTCTAATGTCCAGGGGCCGGGGGCGGGGGGGGGGGCTGTAAGAGGACCTTATCCTGAATGTCATCATTATGAAAGCAGAGAAGGGTTGGGTTGCCCGTTCAATATCTAGACTTTCATTCAATACCAATTTTTACCACCTCCTGGTAGCCAAATCCAGGTCCCCTCTTGTTTATTTATAACCTCCAGAAAGTAAGACCAGCTCTTTTTCTGGTGAAAGGGATCTACTGACCTAGTTGTTGTATTTTCCCCACTTTCTATCAATCCCCTGTGTTTAGTCACACCCACACACCCACACCCATGCATGCCTTCAAAGGTGCCTGCCCTTCTGTACACCTCAGCTTGTGTCTTGCTGGCCACCCACTCATGCATGCACTCTTTCTTAGAAAACTACTGGAGGATGTGCTCCACCAAGACACGAGAGTAAACCAAGAAAGGAGAAAGGCATTGGACCCAGAAAGGAACACAAGGTAAGGAAATTCAAAGGAGGAAGGGGAAGCAGCGCCAGTTCTTGCTTCCCAAGAACTGTTAAGAGCACCCGGTATGTTTGAACACAATAAGAGGACCTTTCCACCAATGGCATGGGTTCTAAGCAATGACCAAGGCTCAGGGAAGTCAGGAGAACTGGCGAGATACAGAAACAAGTAAGCAAAAGAAATGCCAGGCTTGGTGGCGCACACCTATAATCCCAGCACTTGGGAGGCTGAGGCAGCAGGTTTGCCATGAGTTCAAGGCCAGCCTGGGCTACATATTGAGTTCAGGGCTGCCTGGACTACACAGACACAGACAGAGACAGAGACAGAGACAGAGACAGCGAGAGACAGAGAGACAGCGAGAGACAGAGAGAGAGAGAGAGACAGAGAGAGAGAGAGAGAGAAAGACAGGAAGGCAGAAAGGCAGAAAGACCCGGCAGAGTATTAACTAGGAGATGAGAAAAGAAATGTGGAAAAACAAGAATTCTCTCCAACCATAAACAATGTCTATATTGTAATAATGTATACCCTGAATTGCAACTTGACCTCATCCTAGGAGGATGAAGGAAGTAAAAAGTGTAGGAATGAGCTAAGTACTCATTTCTCACAGTAAAAGAAAAAAAAAAAAAGGAAAGAATCAGATATCTTTTTAAAAGAAAGCTACATGGTGGCACATGCCTGTAATACCAGCATTAGGTAGGCTGAGGTAGAAGGAGTTCAAGGCCAGGTTGGGCTACATAGTGAGTTCAAGGCTAGTCTGGAATAGATAGCAAGGCCCTGGTCTTAAAAAAACAAAATAAGGGCCAGGGATTTAGCTCAGTGGTTCTGCCGCCTGCCTAGCAAGCTCAAGGTCCTGAGTTTGATCCCTGGTACAAAAAAAAAATAGGGTTGAAAGGAGGGCAGGGGAATGAGGAAAAAATAAGAACCAAGAGAGATTACGTAAAGGTGCAAATTTCCAATTATACTGTATACCTAAAATGTACCAATAAAATTTTTTAAAAAATAAATAATTGTTTTAAAAAGAAAAGGTATGCTATTAAAAAACAGTGGTGAGGGCCGGAGGTTTAGCTCAGTGGCGCCAGCTCCTGCCTGGCAAGTGCAAGGTCCTGAGTTTGATCCCCGGTTCCACAAAAACAAACAAACAAAAAACAAAAACAGTGGTGGGCCAGGGATTTAGCTCAGTGGTTCTGGCCCCTGCCTCGAAAGCACAAAGTCCCAAGTTCAATCCCCGGTACAAAAAAACCCCCCAAAAACCCAGGATAAAAAACAGTGGTAAGCAGCAGGGAGAACAGATAGAAGAATTAAAGGTAGCTGTCACTGGAAGAAAACAGTAGGGCAAGTACACACAGGGCAAACCCAGGGCCTTGCATACGCTAGGCAAATACTCTTAGCTCTGAGCTACACCTCCAACAAAGGACTGTCCTTTCAAACCTTGTGCACAGTCAAAAAGTTAAATATACTGGGGCCGGGGATTTAGCTCAGTGGTTTTGCTGCCTGCTGCACAAGCGCAAGGACCCAAGTTTGATGCCTGGTACCACCAAAAAAAAAAAAAAAAAACAGTTAAATATACTGGGTGTGGTGGTGGGAGGCTGAGGCAGGAGATCAAGAGTGCCTCAGTGAGGGGCCAGGGATTTAGCTCAGTGGTTCTGCTGCCTGCCTCTCAAGAGCAAAGACCCGAGTTCAATCTCCGGTACCAAAAAAAAGAGTGCCTTAGTGAGACCTTGTTTCAAAATACAAAAATACAAAAAGCTCAGTGTGAAGGCTCTGGGTTCAACCCTCAGTACTTTAAAAAATACCTAAACACATAGTCAACTTTATCAGCAAACATTAATACAAAGTTCATTCTTAAACTATATGCAAGTAACAATGCATATTGTTACCATTACAGCTTTGTGTTTCATGTTACTCGTAATAAATATCCATTAGTGCCAACTCATCTAAATACAAAGTTTTAATGTTTTCTTTTCCCCCAATAGTTGATGTCAATTTTGCTTCAGATACCCCTACCTGCTCTGCTGACAGGTCAAAAATCAAGAAAAGACCATGCTTCCTGACAGACCCTTTGGGAACCAAGGCAATGGTCTCCCCACCTGACTAAAGGTTAGCCAGCATCAGGGAGCAGGATCCCCCAGGGCCAGTCATTCAATAAAGATTTAAATACCCCCTGTGAGCAGGTTCCACAGGCAATGCAGGGAAAGAGCTCTCAGGAAGCATAGGTGGAGGCAGGGACTCAAATTTCAGATAAGATACTGCAGAGTAGATTCAGCAACTTAATGCAATACACCTGCAACTTCTCTCAGCATGCTGAGAGTGAGCCCCAAGTCTGAAGGTGTCCCTTGCATACATGAATTAACTAGTCCTGTGCATGTAGGAAGGCAGCGGGAAGGTTGAGAAATGGTTCCTTTCTTTTCCATGGTTTTGATGAAAGGCGGGGGTGTTGTGAAGGGAAAGCTCTATCTGAATGGTGAGGGAATGCCTCTCAGAAGTGGCACCAAGCCAGAACAGTGAGAGCTGTGCCAGGATCCAGGGCAAAGAGGGAGAGAGAAGGGAAGAAAGTTCCAGGCAGGGAGAACATGTCCCAAGGCAGAACAATCTTGGCTGCCTCAAGAGGCAGCAAGAACAGGAGGCCAAGATGGGGTCAGAGCGCTGCTGCCAGAGAAACGGCTCCCAAACACCATGGCCCAGAAGGTAGATCTGGACTTGCAAGACCCGGAAGAACTCAGCTCAAAGACCTTCTCCTACAGGGAAAGACCAGGGGCTTTTGGTCTTAGCTCATAAACAGAAGTTGCTTCCAGACTTCATCCCAGGAAGATGCCCCTTGTTGGGAGCATGAGGCACACTGTGTTAAGCAGGGCCTCTTTTTCTCACCAAACTCGCTTGCCAGGAAGCCCTGGCCACACTACACATCGGCTTGAAGAGCCACGCGCTGGACCTGCACCCTCAGTCTCCATCGAGCACCACGATCTGTTTCCAATAAGGCAGTCCAGCCCTGGAGGCAGGCACAGTCTCACACAAGCCCTTGCCACTTCTTTGAATCAGACTTTGCAAAAACAACCTTGCTCTCCAGCCAACATAAACCATAGGCAACAGAGGGCCTTATATGGCTCAAAGCTTTCTTAATCAGAAAGATAGACAGGCTGGAGTTGGCAGCTGCACATTAGAGGAGAGAGAGAGACAGGGAGAAAAGAATGGATAGCGTGGGGGACATACAAACTTGTTTGTCAAACTCCTCTCTTCATCCCTCTTCTGCCTCCCTCACTTCCCAGCAAAGAACTCCTACTGGAGGCCAAGGCTTGCAGCCTGTTGTTTACATTTTGGTTTAAGCCAGACTGCTGGGTGATCCACACTTGATGAGTTTTTTGTGTCCACTGAGCATCTGGCCTTGAGGTTAGGCAACTTCACATGAAAATGGGGTTATGTGGTTTCCTGAGAATCAGCTGTGGAGCAATGGGGGGTCCTCATTCCCTAGGCAGCAGTCCAAACCCCTGGTTCCCAGCTCACTGGACTGCCTCAGTCACATGCTTGCCTGGCCCAGGAGGTGGGTGGGATTGGGGCCCTGCCTTTGAGATAGAATAGAAAAAGCAGCGCCAGAGACCTCAAGAAGCTCTCTCTCCAGTCCACACAGCTGGGGGCAGTGTCTAGGGTAGCTCTGTTCTCCTCCCTTTCCTGATTAGGCAGAGGCAGCGGCAAGACTGGTCCTGGACACTGCAGCCACATGCACTTGGCTGTCCTAAAGGATGCCAACTGCTAAAAATAGCACCAGCACATGCCTGGCCGAGTGGGCCACACCAAAGTCAAAGGACAAAGCAGGGAGGTTATTCTCAGCTCTGCTTCTTCTCCCAGATACTTCAAGGCCCACAGAGTGCTGGTCTCCTTCCAAGGCAGCTTAAGAAGTGCGAGTCATGCTGCTCTATCGGAGGGGCAGGAAGGAGACCTATAGAGCTATGGCTGCCACCCCCACCCCCCACCCCGCAATGGGTTGTGGCCTCTGGACCTCACAAAGGCATTCAGAGGCCAAAGCTAGAGAGAAAGGGATAGGGCCAGGGGCTGTGCTTGAACCTGGCCTCTCCTGGGTGACAGCCTGTTGCGGGCCAGGGGATGGAATCACGACCTCCATGTGAAGTCTGACAGGCCACATTATTAAATTAGCTGGGGAATGAGTGACTTTAAGGTTGGTCTTTTCAACCCACTGAGACTTCAAAGCAGTTTCTTGGACCCTATGACACAGCTACTTGGTCTGTGAGGCTTTTTCATTCATGATCATTACTTAGGCATTTCAAGTGTGCATTTGCCTGATGATAAAATAGGGCTTTGGAAAGATAAGAGTTACAGAGTAGTATCATGAACTTCAGTTTCCTGTAAAATGGGTTAAGAGTGATTCCCTCGCAGGACTCAAAACATTGAACAGACTCAGTTAGTAGGATAAATGGTTTTAATCTTTTATAAACCCAGGTTTGTTTTCTGGATGAGGATGGAGTGATAATTGGGCAGTAAATAATTGGGCATCCCCGCTTCTGAGCATGGGGTGCAGCAAGAAGTGAGGGAGACAAACAAGAGGGAAGGAATGGGCTGGGGATTTAGCTCAGTGGTGCTGCTGCCTGCCTCGTGAGCGCAAGGTCCTGAGTTCAATCCCCCCTACCGAAAAGGGGGGGGGGCCGGAGATGGAGGTGAGGAATACCGTGACCCAGATCCAAAGCCAGATCCAAAGTCCTGACACTAGTATACTCTCCCCAGGTTCCTCATCCACAAACTAAAGACACTGAACTAGAGACACTGAACACAAACTAGAGACACTGAACCTCATAGCATTGCGAGGATAAACTGGCACAGTTAAAACCTCCCAGGTGGGTGCCAGGGTGCCTACCTGTAGACCTAGCTACTCTGGAGGCTGAGGAAGCAAGATCACTTGAGTCCAGGAGTTCAAGGACAGCCTGGGCAACACAGTGAGACTCCCCTTCTCAAAAATAAAAGCTGGGGGCTGGGGATTTAGCTCAGTGGTTCCGGCGCCTGCCTTGCAAGCGCAAAGTCCCAAGTTCGATCCCGGGTGCCAAAAAAACAAAGCTGGGCATGGTGACTACATCTGTAATCCCAGCACTCTGGGAGGCTGAGGCAGGAGGATTCCAAGTTTGAGCCCAGCCTATGCAACTCATCGAGGCCTTGCCTCAAAATAAAAAGGCTCAGTCTAAGACCCTGGATTCAATTCCCCGGTGTCAATAAATAAATCCTTCTAAGATGCCACTAGGTACTCAGTAAGTGTCTCTGACACATCTGTTACATCTGGCTCCAAGAAAACAGGTTTCACGCTACCTGCCAAAGGCCAGTCTAAGCAGGGTTCAAACAAAGCACACCTAGGACTGGATAAGGAAACATCTAGAAATAACCCCCTTTTCCCTGTGACTACCCCACACCAACACTTCAAGATCTACACTGTGGCTCTTTTAAAATGTCCCCCAACATTTAACAGAGGGCCTAGTGACATCTGACATTTGGAGGCCAAGGACCTTTGCTTACAAGTGGACTTAATAAGCAGGGCTTAGTGCCTGGGTCTCCTGCTTCATGCTGTGTCCTCACACCCCTCAGTAAGCTCCTCTCTCAAACTGTTTCATAACTGATCAGGCCCATCCCAACTGTAGACTAGAACTTGCTTCTTAATGAGCCATGGAGAGAACCGATGTAGAAAGAATTCGTCACCAAAGCTGTTGAGTTTACAGACTATGGAAGGCTAAGTCCAAACGTGATGCTCTGGAGATTTACAAGTTGAAGCAATTAAACTTTTAGAGTGGGCCAAAGAACATTCTAGACCAGCACTGTCCAACAGAATTTTCTGTGATGATGAAAATATTCTTGACCAGTGCTGTCCAGTGTGGCAGCCCAAACACATCCCTCTAGTAGTAACCTCTACCTCAGAGCATAAGCTGAGTGTTTTTAATGTTCACCAACCCTCCTTTTGACTGAGGAAACTGAGACCCGTGAGGGCCACCAGGCCTGCCAGGGCTCACAGCCAGGATTCAGCCAGGAGAACTGCACCAAGGCCAGGGCTGCTCTTCCCAGCTAAGACCAGCAATGAAACAAGCCCCATCGGCCCTGAGCTCTGGATACCTTTCCTGGGAACCTGCTTTGTGCCTGAGTGTGAACGGGCCACAGTGACACATGGCAAAGTGAACACAGCCAGCGAGTAGTACAGGATGGGGACAGAATGTTTACTACCAATGAGTGCAAACTACCAGGCCAATGGTGAGACTAGTGGCAGGGCAGAGATGCCCAGGTGGCAAGGACTTAGACTGAATGAAACTGGGTACCACCGTTTAGGAAAAAAGTCAAAGAAAAAGATAGCTTAAAAGCTACTTAATACTAGGAAGCCGGTCCTCAGAATGCTTATTATACACACTCCTCCACTGCTACTATCTGCTTAGAAAGCAGCACAAAGATTAGGAGAAAAGGCCAATAAATTAAGAATTTTCCTTGGTGGTTCTCACAAAAGCCCACTAGGACCTGGCCCAAAGCTACTTGTTAGTTTCTCCACCCCTCAATTTGTAGTTTTGTTCCCGCTGGTGAAACAGTGTGGAGTGTCCTCCAGCTTCATCCTCAATTGCACTCAGAGGTGTGAGGATTAAAGGATTAAGGAGGTGCTTGCTTGCTCATCACTCACCCAGAACAGGAACTGCCAAGGAACAGGCAGCCTCTACATTTGTCCCCACATCCCCAGGAGCTACTTCTTCAGCCAGACTGCCCTGCTCCAAAGATGCTCACTGACTGTGCCTTCCACTGCCCAGGTTTAAAATGAGGTACTAGGGCCATGGGTTTGCTCAGTGGGGTGCCACAAACAGATGCTCAGTAAGTGGACCTGTGTGAGGTATCACACCAGGAAGGGACGTGGGAGAAACAGAACGGGCCCCAGGAAGTGAAGTGCAGGACTAACACGCAGCTCACTATGCAGATTAACAACTGTCAAACAGTATGAGATGATTTCAGTGAAACCAGAGTCCCACAGAAGCCAGGATACCCCACAGGAGCAGACACCTCCTCAGAACAAGGAGCCAAAGGTTTCAAGCCACACCAAAACAACTGCTGAGTCCCCACAACAGGGAGACAGGCTGAGCCGCAGAGGGCTCAGCCATTCTAGACTCATCAGGTGCTTTTGCGAGGAGTGGCTGGGAAAAACAGGCCAGCTCTCCAGGCACATGGGCTATGAGCTGCCACGCTTCGAAGCCCTACAGTGCTCACATGAGCAAGACATACTGAGCCAGGAGGCTAGCTGGCAAAGTGTGGGGAAACCAATGTCTCTCCCTACGCTTTTTTTTTTGATACGGGGTATTGAGCTTGGGACCTTGTGCTCGTGAAGCAGGTGCTGGAACCACTGAGCTAAATCCCTGGCCCTGTCTCCCCTTTCCTTCTAACCAAGTTTCTAGGTGAGAGGCTACAGAGCGGGGTGCTTTTAATAAAGTTCAGATCTCTCAAGTGATTCCAGTGCAACTTAAGACTCCAAGATTCTTTGGGGGAGAAACAGTGCACCTATCACACACCAGGCACAGTCCCCAGTCTCACAAATTTGATCTCCACCTATCTTCAGAAGGTAAAGGGAACCCTGGAGGCTAGAACTACCACAAATTGACCCAAGAATAACCTGGGTTACCTGGTAGGTAGCAAGACAAGCTGCTTTAAAATATTGATGCTCAGCAACCTTACACTGGAGGCACACCAGCTCGAGCACTAGTGCACATACCACCACCCTGCAGTGGCCCAGTGTGAACGCACTTCCTAGAAACAGCAGGGTGATGGGAGGCACTCACAGTACAAGGGACTCCACCTCCAGAGAAATTCATTGCACCTCTCCTTTACAGGCTAGAAGCAGTTAACTGATAGAACATGCATGACAACAGAGCCTATTTAATCCAGTAACCACGAAAGCTGTGATTTGCATACCTGTAGGATACAGGAGACCTCCTCTAATTTAGGGCTATTATTTTACAAGACCACTCCCAGGAATTATTACTCAGAATTGACAAAACTAGTTAAGAGATCAGACAAGAAAGGCTCATCAAAAAGCCCCCAGGACAAAACTTAACTTGTTTTCAGTGCTCAGAAATCTTAAATAATTAGCAGGTGAACCACCAAAACAGAAGAACCAAGTAAGTGATCAAGTCTTTTGGCTCCTTTAAGAGCAGAGTGGCTGGGTGGCGCTAGAGTGCAAGCTTTGCTTTCTAAATAAAGTTAAGAGTTGGGGGAAAAAATACTAATTTGAGGAGTTTATATAAAGTATCAGTTGGCAGAATTAATAGTTTTTGTCAAAGGTGTGTCCTTTGATCAGTAATTGCAACATAGCAGCGGTGGAGGGAGTAAGGTAGCAAACCAACTAACAGATATGGTTGCACCAGCTCGAGCAACCCAGATTTCACTGCAGGAGATGAATTCAAACACTAAGTAGCCTGCACTTCAGTAGAAGGCAATTTTAACCTCAGTAATTGCCTTTGCACACATACCCCACCCCACCCGGCTTGAAGGCCTCCACTCCCACCTGGAGCGAAGTCCACCGGGTTTGTGTTAACCGCAGCCCAGCGACAGGAAGGGGCCGAGCCCCGCGCATCTCCCTGGGCAGTCCCGCACTGCCCAGGACTTTCCGGCAGTCCTCGGTGACTTCTGGCACAACCTTCCACCATTAGCACTTTTCCCCTCCTATTCTTCCCTGGGTGAGGAAATAGAAGACCGTGACCTAGGTCACAAAATAATCGAAACTATTTAGCCCGCCTCCGAGGTGTCCAGCCCGGAGGCCTCTCCGAGCACTTTAACCCACCTCCCAGCAGTGCGCGAGTTTCCCCAGATCCCTGGCCTGAGGCGGGGGTGGGGGCGGGGTGCACGTGACCCTAGGCGGCCCCAGGCGGGAAGACAGGTTGGAGAAGGCTTGAAAATAACCGGGCACATCAAGCTGGACAGCCTCTACCTCTGCAACGCTAATCCCCTCGACACTTCCAAGCCCTGGACCTCCCGCCCCTAACTTGGTTTGATCCGCTCCTCCGCTCCAAATGCCGTTCGGATCACAGCCGGTCTCCCAACCTATCCTCCGGGGTCCGTCCGCCCCGTCTCCTCTACGTGTTCTCCGCAGTGAACTCCAGCGGCTCCGTGAGGGACCTGCTCAGGTTTGCCACCACCGCCGGGGCCACCCGGGACGAGCCCACGGAGCCCAGAAGTTAGAAGAGGCTCCGGAAATGACCGAAGAAACTCCGATCCTTCAGCGGGAGAAGGGGGTTCCTGCGGGGACCAGGGGACCTCCTCGCTCTCGGAGTGCCTGGCCCTGAATACAGCCCGCCCCACCGCCGCCTCGCCCCTGCGGGCTCCGACTGGGTACACACGACCTTTGAAACGTAAACGCGAGTGGGGCTGGGCGACCTTGGGTGGGACGCGCTCAGGTCTGCCCCACCCGCGGGGTGCGCGCTCGGGGAAAGTTCGGGCGCGGAGGGGCGCCCCGGACGCTGCGTCCTCGCCCCCGCCCCTGAGGGCGGTGACGCGCGTGGGGCGAGCCCCGCACACCCGACCTGTCAGCAGCTGCAGCACGCGGGCAGACGCGCGGCGCGGGAGGAGGGCGTGTGGCAGGCCCGGTCTGCGTGACAGGGCGGCGGTTGACAGCCCCCCGCACACCCCCGGCGCCCCGACCGCGCGTCCCACCCTACACCTGCACCCCGGCCGCCTCATCACCCCGACGGCGCCTCCTCAGGGCCCCGGCAGGGGATGGGGCTGCAACTCACCAGCTCCTCGCAGACCGTCGGGGTCCCGCCGCCCCCCAACCCCTGCCTCGCCCCGCGGCCCGGCCGCAGAGGAGCGCTTCGGCCGCTCCCCCACGTGCTCGCCCAGGCCGGAGGAACACAGAGACATTAAATACTGAGGACGCGCCGCGACGTGCCCGCGGCCTGACGCAAAGCCCCGCCCCTCGCCCTCGTGCCCTCGCGCCCGCCCGCTCGCTGGCTCACCTGCGCGTGCGCGCCGCCGCCGCTCCCGCTACCGCCTTACCGCGCGCGCCTCTCCCAGCTGCGCGGGAGGGGGAGCGGTCTGGAGTCTATGTCCCTGGGCCGCCGGGAGCTGGCCTGGCCCGTACTCTCGCGAGAGGAGCGGTAATCTCGCCGGGCCCGGGGGAGGGGAGTCCGGGTGCCGCGTTAGAACCGGTTGGACCCTGGGTGCGCTTTGCGTGGCGGCTTCATGTGTGGTTTCGGGTCCTCGTCCCTCGATGGTCAGGAGGGATCCATTTGCAGGGTCTTGTCTCCGGACCAGCCCCTGGACAATGCGGAGAGACCACCCGTCACAACGTCGTAATGCATCATTGGGGAGCCGTTAATAATTGCTCAGTAATAAGTGCATGCCACCCGAATGCATCTTTCTTGCCCATTTACCCACCTTAGATGTTATCAGAGTGAACCACTTTCCTCTAAATGGGCTCGAGATTGGGAATGACTCCTAGAAGAGATTGACCTTGAGTTTCTGCCTCCACCAGGAACTAGAGGAAACAAGTTTCCTCCAGACCATTGGACAGGGTGGGGTTCTGGCTCTGCTCTGATTCTTAAGTATTTGGATAAAATATACAAAACAGATCATGCAGGCGGGGCACGGTGGTGCATGTCTGTAACCCCTGCCCTTTGAGAGGCTGAGGCAGGAGAATTACAAATTGGAGCCCAGCCTGGGCAGTTGAGCGACTTAAGGAAACCCTGTCTCGAAACAAAAATAAAATAAACAGATTAAAAAGGGCTGGGACTGTAGCTCATTGTGAAGGCCCTAGGTTCAATCCTATACACTGTCCCCCCAAAATCATATTATATTAAGAACCAGTTGTTACTTGAGAAACTTCATTAGTGATCAAATGCAAATTTTGAAGACAATGAGATACCATTTACCTATTGAGCTTTGGGTATAAGTTCTTGTAAATATGAGTCCCAAGTGAAGGTGTGATAGATGCCATGCAGGAAACAAAAAGAAACTGACATTCAAAAGAAATAGCAAGACCAGCTTTAGGTTCTGTGGTCAGGACAGGCTGTAAAGTGAAACTTGAATAAAACTGTGAGAAGAGAAGGAGCCAGCCGTGCAGATTGAATGCGGGCATAAGTGTTGAGGGAATTTGCTCAGCAAAGGCACAACACAGGCAAAGACAGGAAACAGCTTCTGGGGCAGACGTGGTGGTGCTCGCCTGTGATCCCAGCACTCAGGAGGCTGAGGCAAGAGAATCACTGAGTTCAAGGCCGGCCTGGACCATGTATGAGACTCTGTCTCAAAAAAGAAAACAAAACAGCTTCTGGCAAACTGGAAGGTAGTTGAGGGAGGGGCAGTTTGTTGGTGGTTGTGGATTGGGGAGGCAGTAGTCACCTTATGATCCACTGTCAGGTTTGGGTTTTATTTTGCTCTGATCAACCCAAAAGCCAGAGATGATTGCACCTCCAGGCCTTGCCCTGTACTGTTCCCTCTACCTGGAGTCCCTCCTGCTCAGGGGTCACCTACTCACTCTGAAGCCTTCCTCTGACTGCTTAAGATTGTAAACACACACAATTTGCTGTCCTTCACTCTTTCTTGATCTTCACAGCCCTTACCACCTCTATCTGCTGTCTGCTTTGTTTCATGAGGCAGGGGTTACTGAGAGCAGCAACCAACCAAGTGCTCTGTAACAAAGTGTTTAGTGAGTAAAAGGAAAGCCACTGAAGAGGGTTAGGTAGAGAATGACACAGTCAGATGTTTGTTTTGAGAAGCTGAGCAATAAGCCAGAGTGGTGGCACTCTGTGATCCCAGCACTCAGGAGGCAGAGGAAAGAGGACTGAGAGAGTTCAAGGCCAGCCTGGGGTACACAGCAACACTATCTCAAAAAAAAAAAAAAAGAAAGTGATCAGTGGTTGCTCTGAGGAGAATGGGTGAGAGAGAGACCAGAGTAGAAGCCATGAGATCAGATCAGACACTGCAGCAAATGGCTCAAGCGAAAAACCATGCTAATCGGAGCCCAGGGCCTAGAGCTAAGTGACTCTGAGGTTGAAGAGACATTTTAGATTCAAGATCTGTTTTGGATCAGCCACGGTATTGCTCGTAGTCCCAGCTCCTCAGCAGCCTGAGGCAGGAGGATCACAAGCTCAGGCCAGCCCGGTGGACTTAGTGAGACTCTGTCTCAAAATAAAAACATTTACATAAATAAGGGCTGGGGATGTAGCTCAGTAGTAGAGCGCTTACCTAGCATGTGTGAGGCCCTGGGTTCAATTTCCAGTACTAAAAAGAAAAGAAAAGGAATGCTTCAGAAGTAGAATAACAATCTCACTTGTGTTATTGCCATTCAGAGGGGGAAACAGTGAACGCTGATTCCTCCAGTTTCGGTGACTGTGAGCTGAGGAGCCAGATGGGAGGAGAGAAGCACTGGTCTCATTTTGGACCCATTAAGTTTGTACTGTTTTTGTGACATCCAAGTGTAGGCTAATTCAGGCGGATATGCATGTCTAGGTGGAGTCAGAGGGGTGGTCTGTGTGGGAAATACAAATATGTATTGCAAACTGCGTAAAACGAGGTTTATTTGTTGATGGATTTTGGTTTTTGAGAGTCTTGCTACAGATCAGACTGCCTGGAGCTCTCAATCCTCCTGCCTCGGGCTCCAGAGTGCAGGGATTTCAGGTGTGTGCCGCTGCACCCCACGGAAGGGATATGTTAAAGACAGATAATGAACACAGTGGCTGTGGAGATAGGGGTGAGGGGAGAGTGAGAAAATGCTGACCAAGAAATGAAGCCTCAGAAACACTGGTAGGAAACAGGACGGGGGAGACAGACAGTGAACGAAGGAGGTGGAGCTCTGAGCCCAGTAGTGAGAAGGAGGAGAGAAGAGCCGGACCGTTGAGTTGAGGTCAGTGTGTCAGTCATGTGCAGTGCCTGGGGACATGGGCAGGGCCTGCCGAGAAAAACCGTGAGGGCAGAAAGGCCCGGGCTACCAGGGATGGGGAAAAGGGCAGTCGCACGTCAAATGACTAGGTAGGAAGAGCAAAGAGAGCTAAGTCCATGCAGTCAAAACCAGAGTGCAGCCCACTGCGTCAGGGCAACAGTCCGGAAATCACACAGGTGACACAGTTTAAGAGTAGAAGTCAGATGTGGTGCCACACGCCTGTCATCCCAGCACTGGGGAGGCTGAGGCAGGAGGATTGTGGCAAGTTGAAGGCCACCCTGGGCAATATAGTGAGACCTTGTCTCTAAAAATAATAAAAATTTAAAAAGAAGAAAGCCTTCAGAAGAGACCATGAAAGAGGAGGTGAGGCAGTGCCAAAGAGCCCCTGGGCACAAGAAACCCAGCTCTCTGAGATGCCAAAGTGGTCAGATGAGAACCTGCTGCTATTGTTCTTTTGACTGCTATAACTCCAGCCCCACATTCTGCACAGCCACTACCCAGCCTTCTGATGATCTCAGGGTGGAGGCCATGATGGGACCCATGAAGACACTGGCCTACCAGTGACATTTTTGTCATTGTAAATTATGTAAGTTGCCCCCTGGCTTTCTAAACCGGTACATCTTGCCACTGTGTTTAGCGTGAGTCAGCTCGAAGTCTGGGCCTGGAACATGGTGAGAGTGGAACCCTGTTACCCAGTGAGGGCTTGATGCAGGGCTGTGAGGAGGAGCCTTCCCCCTTTTTTTGGGACAAGGTCTCTGCCATGTAGTCCAGGCTGCCCTTGAACTCGTTATGTAGCCCAGGCTGGCTGCATACTCTTGGTGATCCTCCTGCCTCAGCCTCCCGAGTGCTGGGATTACAGGTGTGCACCACCACACCCAGGTGTGAGGCTCTTTTCAAACTGTGTTCTTTTCACTGTCCATGCAATTTCGGGGGGCAAGTATTTGAGAAATGTCCTATCTTTCCTATTGGAAAAAATCTACTTGGGAACTTTTAAGTGCTAGTAATCATGAGCTGTCTCCTTTCTGGGTGTACATTAGTAGAGCACCTCCCATTCTCCACTCTGCTCCCAATTCCTTTGGAATAAAAGATGCATTTGTTTATGCCTCAGGACCATGTGCATTTGCCAGGAAGAATAAAAGACCAACTCCTAGGGAAACCGCTGGAAGAGCTGAGGAATAACAACACTAAAGACACCTAGTAATTTATACTCAGTGAACAGTTACAGCTGGCACTGTGCCAAGTACTTGATCCTAATCCCCCACCAACCTCAAGAACTCTCATTATAAAGCATTCCTGGGCCAGGGATGAAGTTCAGTAGCACCACACCTGCCTTGAAAGCTCAAGGTCCCGAGTTCAATCCCTGGTACTAGAAAAGAAAAATAACAAAACATTCCCGCCTCCCAGCCCTCAGTCACACAGTGGCAAAAGCAAGATTTTAACCCAACAATCTGACTCAGAGCCTGTAGATTAACCACCTCACTTTAGTGTGTGTAGAGGCAAACTCAATCCAGGGACAGGGTTTTGGTTTTTTTGTTTTGTTTTTGCTTTCAGCACTGCAGATTGAACCCAGGGCCTTTGCATTAAGGCACATCCTCAGCCCTTTTGTATTCTTTATTTTGAGACAGGGCCTTGCTAAGTCAGTAGGTTGCCCAGGCTGGGGTTGAATTTGTCACCCTCCTGCCTCGGCCTCCCAGAGTGCTGGGATTACAGGCGTGGGATTACATCACTCCTGCCTAATAGACATTTTTATGTACAGAAATATGTCTGTTATGGAACTAAAAAAAAAACCAGGTTGAGGTTTTAATCCTCATTTCCTCAGAATGTGTCCTCATTCAGATGTCATTTTTGTTTTATTTTGCTTTTGGTACCAGGGATCGAACTTGGGTCTTTTTGCTTGCGAGGCAGGTGGCAGAACCACTGAGCTAGATCCCCGGCCCCAGATGTCATTTTTGAGACCACACTAGAGTAGACTGGGCCCCTATTCCGACATGACTGTGGTGTGGTGTAGAATCAGGCATGGGGCACGTGCCTGTAATCCCAACTACTCAGGAGGCTGAGGCAGGAGGGCCACAAGTTCAAGGCCAGCTGGGGCAACTTAATAAGACTGTCTCAAAACAAAACAAAATAATAAAAAGATAAATTAAAAAAAATTTAAAGGGCAGAGTGCTTGCCTAGCACATGCAAAGTCCTGGGTTCAATCCCAGTACTGAAAGAAAAAAATAAAAGACCACAATCCAATAGACTGAATGAGACTGATGCCCTTCTAGGAAGACAATCACATGAAGGTGGGGAGATACAGAGAGCACCTGAGGCTAGGAAGGGGTGAGGAAAGATTCCCTACAGGCCTCAGGGTCTGTGGCCCTGCTGACACCTTGATTTTGGATATATTTCCTCTAGAACTATGAGACAATAGATTTCTGTTGTTTTGAGTCGTCCAGTATGCAGTGCTGAATCTTGTTCTACCGGCCCTAGGAAATGGACACAGTGCCTTTCTTTTTTTTTTTTGGTACCGGGGATTGAACTCGGGACCTTATACTTGTGCAGCAGGCGGCAGAATCACTGAGCTAAATCCCCCATCTAGTGCCTTTC